TTGTAGAGAATTTCAAGCGCTATCTTTTAGTATAAAAAGATGTCCCGATCTAATGGATAATAGAAGAGTTATACTCAAAATACGAATGGTATAATTTATTCTGGGACACCCGTTATGTAATTTTCATGTGAGAATGAAAATTTCGTTCAAACTACATTACATTAATATACGTTTTTCGAAAAGATTCCCAAAATAGATTGATTAGACTATGATTTTAACTTATAGAGTACAATATGAAAACATGTTCTAACTCAGCCTCTTTCAATTGGTGAAAATCGCAGATCGCTAGCTAGTGCCGTTTTCAAGATATTCGTCTTACGCCAATCAACACATTGTTCTGGCGCCGAGAATAATTGGAAAAAAATTGAACAAAACAGTCGGAGTTAAACAAGGAAAGGTCTGAAAGTGGAATTGAAAGGCAACGTTTCATTGATCATTATAAAGAATATAGTAATTTCTTTTAAGAATTGAAGAATATATTTTTGATTTTTCTCAATAAATCTGGTTTTGATTTTATAATTGAATTGAGTAATAAAAGAAATATTTTGTTTACAAAACATAAACACTGATGATGTTCAATATTTTATAATATATAAAACAAGAAAACATTGTTTATTGTTATTTTGAGAAAAAAAAGATGTGTGATTAAGATTCTCGTTTTATCTTCTTTTAATGTAATAGTTCGATTAAATACATACTAAAAAATACAAAATGAAAAAAAAATAATTAACTAATTTATATAAATGAATTTCTACTTTTTCACTTGCTATATCAGGATCAACACTAAAATATCCAATACGTTCAAATTAAAATTTATCAAGTACTTTAGCATTTATAATTCCATTATCAGCAAGAGCATTTGAGTTAATTGCTAATGAATTTTTAAATAAAAAACAGAAATTATTAAATTATAGACGAATATATAATTCATGCTGAATTTATATCTGATAGAAAAACAGTTGGGACCTCTTTCCGATCTTGAGGATTTGGATGAAGAAAACTAACATTAAAAAACAAATAAATAAATCTTAATTTATTATATAGCAAAAATCAGATTAACTTACAGTTTTTCATAGATTCGAACTTCACATTTATTTGGATGAGGTACCCAATGAATAAAACTTTTTGGCTTTGTAATACCTTCATCAGTTACTTTTTCTCATTTTACTTTTAATTCAATTGGTTCATTATTTGAATCCTAGTTTTATATATTAAATTTATTTTACTCATCATCGATCATCGGATAGTTTTAAGGAAAAATTTCAACTTTTTATTTCTATGTGAGCTTATAGATCGAAAGTTACTGTATAATATACACTATTTCAAATTCAGTTTTTCGTCAAATACTAGATTTTTAAAAAAGAGAACATTTATCTTCCATTAAAATCAACTGTTACCAAACTTATAAACACAAAATATCAGAAATAATAACTTCGATCAGTTAGGAAGGTTTACTTATTAATGAAACTCAGCATTTATTCAACGTGTGTCACACCTATAAATATCAGGTTTCTTGTCATGAAAATGAAAAATTGTTTTTTCGAAAGAAAATTTTTTTTTAAAACACCAATACAATTTGATGATAATATGTTATCTGAATAAATTTAATTATAGATATAATTTGCATAAAAACTGTTAGCACAATCCCTATTACATTAAAATATGAAACACGATGAAGCTGTTATTGTTGATCTCCTAAAAACTGTTCTTTTTTATGCATAATGGAGCACGTTTCTTCATCATGGTTTATTTTACACTATAGAACTTCAAACAGGATAGTACTCTACATATGCTCTACTAATATGTTAGTTATACATTATTTCTGATACTTTCTTGAAGTCTTCTATCACAGTCTATGGTCACCTTTCGAGCTTGTCTATTACGATCTGTGAGAGACGACGCAAATTTCTATCCCTAAACAATTGAACACTCGTTTCTGATCATGTTTCAAAAAAAAAAAGACTAACTCGAATAATATCTTGAGTAGTTATAACAAGAGCAACATGTTTTAATCCACATGGTTGATTTGGTGTTAGACGTTTAAAATCTTTTGTTAGATTCTAGAATTAAAAACAAAAAACATTTTATTTATCATCAATTTCTATTTTTTTTTACTTCACTAATATCAGATTTTTCAATATACATAACTGAGTCAAATTGAATTGGATGAGAACCACGAGATTCTTCAACAGGAAAATTTAATACAGCTAATTCTGTCATTCTTTCATTTGGAAAATTGGTTATTGTTACTTTTAACGGATCTAAAACAACCATTACTCCATAAGAACAAAAAAAAAACAAAATTAAATTAATATTCGAAAAGAAAAATAAAATAAAATCTCATAGAGGAGCATTTAAATTAAGTACTTTCCGTACACATGCATCAAGCATATCTGGATGAAGAACTTTTTGTGATATTGTTACACCAATACGTGCACAAAATAAATTAATTGCTTCAGTTGGAAAACCTTTTCATCTCAATCCAGTTAATATATATAAACGTGGATCATCCCAATCTCTATATATAAATAATTATTTTAATTCATATAGATATATGATATATTTACCGAACAATATTATTTTCAATTAATTTAACTATTTTACGTTTCGATACAACTATATATTGAAGATTCAATCGATCGTATTCCCATTGTACAGGACAATATAAATCAAGAGCATTACATAACCAATAATATGAAGAACGTCTAGAATTTATTTTATTAAATAAATATATAATTAATTTATTCTTTTTTTTTTTACCTTGATTGAAATTCTTTTGTACATAATGCATGTGTTACATTTTCAATTGAATCATTTAAACAATGTGTATAATCATATGTTGGATAAATACACCTATTTTAATATTTTATTTTCATTTATTTATTAAAAATAAACCTGAATCTTTTTTTTTGTTTGCTTGTTTATATTATTAAAACTATCTTTAAATTATAGTCTTCACTTCGATCAAATTATAAATTCATGAAAAATGATCCTATTAACAAGTTATCTATATCAACACTACTATAAGAAAAAAAGTATATTTATGTTAAAACTATTGAACATCTTCGATTTTCTATTTAATAAAATGATTTTTTTGTTTTGCTAATCTTGATATCTTAATAATGATAAATACCAACGATGGAACCGGTGTAAAATTTCTCAGACCGGTACCGGTACGGTCTAAAAAAGTCAGACCGGATCGGCCGGTCTAGCGGCAACGCATGATTCATCGATAATTCATAGTCAGAAAAAAAGTGGCTTAGATATGAAGAACATGGTCATCATGTGATAAACTTTATTTGCCAAGTTGTATCACATATCTGATATAGAGATGGAACTAGTCTGAATTTTTGACAAGTAGAACTGATAGTGGTCTGAAAAGAGTACACAGATCCATTTATCAATCACCGGTAGTTCTAAAAGTTGTACTAGTACTGACTCTATCTTTGATAAATACCATAAAACTATTGATTTTTATAGAATATTCTGTTTTTATTTTTAAATCAAATATAAGGTTGTCAAAATAGAATGTACTATAATAGAATAAATTATCTTTCGGGTGTGGGTGTGATTTTACTGAAGACAATCCATCCACACCCACCCTACGTGACAGACTTGATTGATCTTCAATGCTTCAACAAGAGACTGAGCTCCGATCTCACCAAACCGGTTGGTTAGGAGATCGATCTTGATAAGTGTCTGTTATGTCAAGAGAATTTTGTACTGGAAAAAATGCGTGAAGGACTTCACTGACTTGATTAATTTTCAATGCTTCGCTCAGAGCTTGGGCTCTTGAGGCACAGATTTGGTTCACATGAAGATCGATTACAGTAAGTGTCTGTTGTGTCGTGTGAATGTTTCGAATCAAAAAAAAATAAGCGAAGACGGTGTCTCATTTTGTTAATCTTCAGTGTTTCAGTCAAAGCCTGGGTTCTTACGTCACCGATCTCGTTGTTAGTAAGATTCATTATAGTGATTGTCTATTATGTCGTGTTGATGAGATAGAGGAGAATGAAATAAAAGAACATTGTCCCTTACTTTGTTAATCCTCAATATTTCAACCAGGGCCCGGGCTCCTGTCTCAGCAGCCCTGTTCTTGTTAACATCGGCAAATCATGCTTTGGATAAAAATAAAAACGTTGAAAGGTAAAAATGTCGAAAAAAAGATGGGACAAATGTCAAACGATATAAATATCAATCGATAAAAACATCCAAGTGTAAACAGATCGAAAAATAAAAATGTCAACCTTTTGAAACAGCGGAAAAACTTAGATTACTAATTAGTCAATGATAAAAGTTACAATACGTTTATTTCATTTGTAAAGTTTAACTTCATAAAAAAAAACTATTTTACGAAGAACAAAAGTCAAGAACGAGAAGGACTTAAAAATCGAGTTAACACAAGCTGAAATGCTTTTAAATTATTATTAATCATCGAAAAATGTTATAATTTCCAGAAAATGCTTCATTTTCTGTAACATAGAATTTCAATTCGTTATCTAGAAAAATTATTTTGAAACGCCAATTGAAAAATCAACAAACAATTTTTCAAGATGTATGAAAATTAACTCGAATTTCATAGACAATCAGTCTAGATTTTACAAAACAGGAAAAAGTGAAGAGTACTTTTTGGAAAAATCATTTAAACGATGACAGCTATAGCGTTATTTTTTTAGTCACATACAAGTCAGTCGACAGTATCGAGAATTCATTTTTCTCCAACAGCTACAACAGGTATGTCAGTTACATGAAGTGCAGTTAGCGCATACTAATCTGTCAGATGATAAGGAATACAAACAATAAATTATTTCTTGTTACACTATTAGAGTTAGTAAATATAATTTTTTTTATTTTTGAAAATATTTTCTATATTTCTCACTTTTATTTTTTTGTTTTTGATTTATACGCTGTCTCCCATATATACTTGCTTTCGCAATTCAATGAGTATAGAAAAGAAAAAATAAATAATATGAAAACAAAATGTGAAAAGAAAAATATCGAAAGATAGTTTTAGAAAGCGAAAAAACTCAAAACAAAAATTCTTCAAAAATATGATAAGGAGAACTTATTACAATCAATTTTGTCTTACTCGTTGAATCACTTTTATATACTAACAATAGGTTTATGACGTGAGTAATATTGTAATGAGGGGCAATGAGTTATCAGAATATTTAAGAAGAAAAGTATCATGAAAATACAATTTTTAAGGTCCTTTCAAATTGATACACATCTGATTTTGCTCGGAAAAATTTTTAAATTAAAAAATAACAAAAGAAAAGGACAGAAATTATTCTTTCATTATCTTGAATTCAACACTATTGCATATAGGTTTTCTTCTCTGTTCGATTTATATCATATATATATTAATCCTTTCAGTTCCATAGTATAAAAAAACAGCACCTTTTATTATTATTATTTTTCATAGCATAATTGATAAAAGTTAGTATGTAATCTCTGGGAAGGAACCAATAAAGAGTGTTCTGGAATCTTTCCGAAGCACACTGAGTGAATTACATGGGCGAATAAACGAAGTATTTATGGCATGTCTTTATCTGTCTACAATAAACTAATTTTACAGTTTACTTGAATTCAATCCAGCAAAAAATAATTTGAGATTGAAAGGGTTATTGATCGGTGTGGATGTGGGTGTGTCAAGAATATTGAAACACCCACACCCACACCCATACCCACACACACCCTTATAATAATAAGAATGTTAAATTAAGAAAAACGAATTTAAAAAAATGAAAAAATAATGAGCGAATAGCAACAATGCAAGCAAAAAATAGGGTGCTCGTAGAGAAAAATGAAAAAATTCTGTTCGAAATGGAGAAATTAGAGAAGTCATTATTCTAGACATCGATTACCCTGCAAGACAGCTATAGTCTACTAGAGATTTATCACTTTACGTATTTTGCATTAGTTTAATGAGGCTAGAGTGTATATGTGAGTTCCACATTTCAGCCCCAAAGGGGCTACGCTAACAAGCTTTTTTCAATCAAACCAAGACACTCTAAAAATTTCTGTAATTAACTGCAGAACTTAGCATCAAATGAATAGATCTGGAATTGTGTACTGCGTTAACAATGAACAATTCGATATTTTTTTCAAATAAGTTTTTTAATACATTTTCGTAAGAAAAATTTATAATTATAAATAACAAAAAATTGAGTATTGAATCGCTGGTCAACGAATTCTTACTCGATATATTCAAATATTTGAGTGTGAGTGACCTTCTTCGTGTATGCCATCATCTCAATATACGCTTTCATTATCTTCTTCTTCAACACTTCCGGGATCATGGACTTGATTTCGAATTCATATCCAAGCATAACTTCAATATTATCTGTCAACAATATATTCCATCGGTTATTGATCGAATCACTGGAATACGTTTCTCTGAGGGTCTTAATACTGCTCAACAAATAGATCGTTTCTTGACTACTGGATTGACTTTTCAACAATTCACTGAACTACGATCACCTACATTCTTTGATCTTGAAACTTCAGAAACAATGAATCAAATAATGTTCGTGTGGAATCACCTGCCTAACATTACGGATCTGATTTCCCAAATTTGTTACTTTCCTCGCAATCAACAAGATGCTCTGCCGTTCGTATAGCATTTAAAGTCTACCTAAACTCGTTTATTTCCACTTTTTTCATCCGCACAACAATACAGTCAGTATCATTTTTCCTGCACCAACAGTGCTTTCGTCAACTATTGAACGTCTGTCTCTCATAGGTTATAAATATTGCTTAAGCCAACTAGTTCAATTGTTCGAAAATACACTATAACTGCAGCGTCTTGATGTCGATTTACTTTACAATTCTGATGATGAAGCCCCGCTATCTGGTATTCCATTAATGGATTCATTTCTCACAACGTTGATTGGAGATGGGGATGAGATCGCAAGGAATCTCTTACGAAATATGCCCAATTTATGTAACTTGTGCATATTTTCTTTTGGTCCTCATATGGATGGATATCGAATGAAACAAATCATTCGTAATCATTTTCCTAATCTCAAAACATTGCAATTTCAAATGAATTGGGCAATACCTTTCGATATCAACACGAAAAACATACCTCAACTATTGAATCAAGTAGTCGAACCATTTCGAAGTAAATTTTGGGTCGATGAACACCATTGGTATATTGGATGTGATTGTGATCTCGAAAGCAGAGATTTGAATCTGTACACCTTATCATTCATTTGTTATAATTTTTCTATTAGCGGCGCCATATTGTCCAAATCAATTTGTCCTCAAAATAATGATTATTGGTCATACATTCGTGTGCCAAGACTTGCCAACAAGCATCCTTCATTAAAAAACTCGACCTTTCCATGCATTCGTTTTACCAACATTCTAAGATTGATCGTAGACATGCCTATCGATGACTATTTTTGATCGAGTGTCTCAATGCTGGATCAATTGACTGAACTTACAGTTTCATTTTATAATGGTAAGAAGAATTGCAAATACCAACTGTAAGCTTTGCTTGATCGAGCACCTCGCCTCTATGGTTTAGCATTTGGTCGTATCTCAGATTCAAATTCACACATGCAACCATTTGAAATGACAAGTAGTTCGATTCGTCGGTTGCGTCTAAAATATTCTAAACGATATTACAACAATCAAGATTGTACTAAATTGAGTCTTTCGTCACTTGGTATTCAGTGTGAGATACTTTCAATAAATGTCGAAAATCGAATATGTATAATAGATCTTGTCAATAAGATGCAAAATTTTCAGGTATTATATGTTATATGCAAAAATAATTGAGATGTTAAGAGGAGTAAACTTTCTAAGTGGTTGACAAGTCACTTGCCATCTGTATGGACGTTTACGGAAAAAACTTCCAATGATATTAACCTGTGGATTCGTTAATGAAGAGAAAAAATACGTCTATGGGATTCGGAGTTAGATTTTATTACCTTGTTGAATCATGTCGAACTCATCATTGTTTTTTTTTCGAATAATCTTGTTGAAGTGTAAAACTGAATCTCTAAAATATGTATAATCAATCTTCATTTAATGTAGATGTTTCGACATCGGCACTCTTCAATATTGTGCCAGCTATTGATTCTTTTTCTTTTGAGAATAAAAAATAAGTAATCGAAATTCAGAGATAATTTTATATCGAAGAATCTTCCACGAAATATGAATCACTGTCACTCAATTACGTATACCTGAGCATTTCAATGAGAAAGTTATTATATTCAACTGAAGTTTCAATCTGTTCCACGGTTTCATTATTTTTTCGTTTGTATGACATATTCTCAATGATAAAACTAAACTTAAAATCCATAGCTTCACTACTTTGAAGCACTAAAAATTTGTGAACAGCCTAGTCAATTATTAACTTCACACAACGCTCAATTTTATATAAAAAAGCAACGTATTCATTATTATAATTACTTATGAAACATGCTTGTTAATCTATCGTGTGAGTGTGAATGAGGATGAATAGACGACTAAAACCTACACCCATGATGAATCACCACATCTTGTTATAGTTCACTGATTGTTTTATCACTAATGATTTAAAAATAGAAAGATTATTTTCAACATCGATTTGATTATTTCATATCTCAATAATCGTTCTTCAGGTTATTTTAACAAATAGAACATCTAGAGTAGAAGATTTGGAACAAAACCATCTTTGTTCGTATCGATATCAAGTATTGATTTACTGGAAAGCAGCAATTACCTGAAGAACACTTCAATTGCTGTAATCAACAAACGTAGATGGCTTGTTGTTTCATTTCAATTCATGTTTGGTGTATTATTGATGAGTATTGACATAATCTTGAATGATTTGAATAAGAAAAAGAAATATCTTATATGATGCCATTGCTTTTCGGCTTATTCACATTTGAATTTCTCGACTCAAGTCAGCAAGATGTCTGTTGGCGCTAATGTTATTTCAGTTTTACTGTTACTGGCAATTGTCGTTACTCATTTGCATGCTGCATATCAACATTACGTGATCAAGAAAGATTTCAGCTTCGGATTATGGAAGAAGCAATTCTCGGTCTATGATTCGGCGGGAAAGGTTCTAAAGTATCGCATCGAATCGAAATTTCTACGTACTGGCAGTAGACAAGTTCATGCATATCCATCAAAAGAAGTTGTTGGCAAATTAACTCGTAGATGGACATGGGCTTTGAAAGCTGATATTTCAGTTCTCGATCCAAATTCCAACCGTTGGATCAATGGGAATATTACGAAACTAAATAAACTTACTTTAAAACATCCAACCAAATACTCCATCTATTGGAATGGTCAATCCTTGGTGATGGAAACCCATATTGCCTCATACTTCAGACAAATCTATGATAAACCTGAAGAGGATAACTTGGCTGAATTTTCAAAACGGCTCCTTTCAAAATCGGCACCAGATGAATAAATTTTAACCATATTCTCAAATAAGTTTCCGGATGCATTCTACTTTCTAGTGTTCACCGCTGAAGATTTCCCGAAATTGCCTACTGGGAGAGGCAGACAACGAAATCCATTTGTACGACATCCTCTTGATCCATCAAAACGATTATGCATGAAATATACTCAATAAACGATGAAGGCAACTTTGAAGGAAAAATTAGTACGAATCAGTGTCTCATTTGAAAAGATATTCATTTCTTTTGAGAGAATTTTTTTAGTTAAGAAAACATTTGCCTTTAGGTATTTGTGAAAATGATATGAATATGAATGTGTGTTTGAAGAGAGGTGGCATTCAAACACCTAAACTCTAGAACAGTACCATTTAATATAAGATGTACGATTATATGAGAAAAATGTGTAGTTTCCTTGTAATGCTTGGTACATGCTTAATAACTTTGAGTGGCGAACGTACAACTCATGGTAAATATCATGAAGAAAGACTGCAATATTTGACTGAAAAATTTCACAGACTATGAATTACTGTCGAAAAAGTCATCAACTCATGAATTGTCTTGTCGTTTAATTAAAAAAACGATTAGTTTTATTTTTATTGGATTGATATGTGGAATACGCTAAGATAGTTCTTCACGATAACTAGGTGAAATGTTCGATATGTATTGTGTTCTGATAATAGTATATCGATCGTCACACGAGTTGTTTTTCATCGATATTATCATTATTATATCCGCAGCATGTCAGCAATAATTCAAAGAAACATGAAAAAATTGAAGATAAGTTTTTTTTTCTAAAAAAAAGCGTTCAGTATCAAACTATAATGAATTACTATCGTTCTTCTCGTTTAAGATGCATGCAAGCAGCATTCTAGTCTTTTACTGATAACTATGAGTTGCAAGTATTTTCGTTTGTAACCAAGATATAAGAATTTTCGCTAATTGAAATCCTCAAGGGCGACGAGCAATGCCTTTTGCTCGCTCAGAATCTATCGGTCTATTACTAGAGGATATAAAGAAACACTGTTGGTATAGAATTAGCGGTATCAAGAGATAGAAAAGTTCATGTTTCCACATTAGGCTTATCATAAAGGATCACTTAGAGACGATATAGCAGCAATGAATGGACGCATATAACACACATCGGATCGTCCGAGTTAGATAACATTTTTGTTGATAAAATGAATTGATGTCAAAGATGCAATTATTTTACATTGGATTTTTATGAAAAATGTAAATTTTGACGTGGTTTGAATCAAACTTAAGACAAGTGTCATTCTTTAATGATTAATTACATTACATAGGGCATCCGCTAAAATCACTAGACAAAGACAAATGTGCGTCATATTACCATTTTTCAACTAGATAACTAATCTTTTTTTTTTAGAGAAGAGTGAACAGACTGAAATTTGCATTT